TCACTTAGCATAATCCCTTCTAGCTCCATTTATGTTGCTGTGAATGGCGTGTGTTTATCTTTTATTTTGCAATTGCTGAGTAGCATTCATTGTGTATATATTACACATTTTCTTGATTCAGTCATCTGTTTTGGGCATTTAAGTTGTCTTAGCCATTGTAAATAACGCTGTAATAATCAAAACGAGTGCAGGTATCCTTTTGAATTAATGATTGTGTGTCCTTTGTGTAGATTACTAAAAGTGAAATTGCTAGGTCATATGGTATATCAATTTTTTATAATTTGAGGGTCCTCCACACAGTTGTCCATAGTGGCTGGAAGAGTTTACAGTAAAGGAGGGTTCCTTTTTCTCCACATCCTTGCCAGCATTTGTTGTTCTCAGTTTGTTTTTTGGTTTTGTTTTTAATGTAGGCCTGTCTTACTGGCATGAGGTGGTATCTCATTGTGGCTTTGATTTGCATTTCCTTGATTATAGTGATGATGAGCATTTTTTCATATGCCTCTTGGCCATCTACATTTCCTTTTTGGAGAAGTGACCTTTTAGCTCTTCTGTCCATTTTTTGACAGGGTTGTCTGCTTTGTTTTGTTGAGTTGTGTAAGCTCTTTATAGATCTTTGATATCAGTCCCTTATCAGTTGTATGGATGCAAATATTGTCTTCCAATATGTAAGATGTCACTTCATTTTATAAATTGTTTCTTTTTCTGTACAGAAGCTTTTAGTTTGATGAGTTGGAGCTGTTTATCCTTTCCTTCATTTTGTTTCTGAGATATCATGGAGTGTTATGTCTATGTTTTCTTCTATGTATTTTATAGTTTCATTTCTTGTATCCAAGTATTTTATCCCATTTGGGTTGTTATTTGTGTATGGTATGAGGGAGTTATCTAGCTTCATTCTCTTGCATGTAGTGTTCCAGTTTTGCCAGCACCATTTTTGAAGACACTATCTTGTTCCAGTGGATATCATTTCCTCCATTGTCACAGATGAGTTGACCACATAGGTATGACTTTATTTCTGGGCTTTCTTTTCTTTTAAGATTTATTTCTGCATATAAGAACTGGGGTGCAGGCCAGAGCTGTGGGGGGTGAGAGGATTCACCAGAGACAGAGTGGGGAACAGAGCAGGCAGATGGACTGAAGTACAATGCTGAGGGGGCAGCGGGCGAGTCAGGAAAGGTCTGCTGCACCATGTGGGTTGCTTCCTGGCCGGTTGGGGATCAAACTTACGCTGCAGTGGCTGCAGACAGCTTTATAGGTTGTGTCTTAACCCCTTGTGCCACCAGGTTGGCCCCTATTTCTGGGTTTTCAATTCAGTTCCACTGGTCTGTGTGTCTGTTTTTGTTCCCATACCATGTTGTTTCATTATTATGGCTTCGTAATATAGTTTGAATAATTCTGTTATTCTACCTTTAGTTAGGAGAGCTCTGGTTATTTGTGCTTATGTATAAATTTCAGCAAAATATGTTCCATTATTTTGAAGAATGCCATTGGATTTTATTGAACTTGAATCTGTAAAATGCTTTTGGTTGGTTGGCCATTGTGACATCATTAGTATTTCCAGTCCTTGAGCAGGAAATGTCTTTCCATTTCTATGTGTTGTCTTCCATTTCTTTTAACAGTATTTTGAAATTTCCTTTTATAGGTTTTCTACCTCATTTGTTAGGTTTATTTCCAGGTATTTATTTATTTATTGTGTGTATGTGTGTGTGTGTGTTAAAACTATAAATGAAATGTTTTTCTCAATTTCTTCCTCTTCAGACTGATCGTTTCCTCTATAAAAAGGCTAGTGATTTTTGTGTATGGATTTTCTAACCTGCTAATTTACTAAACTGGTTTATTCTTTTAATTAGTTCCTCCATGGATGTTTTTGGGGTTCTCTATATATAGCTCCATCCATGTTGCTGCAAATGGCATGAGTTTATCTTTTTTTATTGCTCAATAGTATTCCATTGTGTATATATACCACATTTTCTTGATCCAGTCATCTATTTTGGGGCATTTGGGTTGTTTCCCACACTATAAATAGTGCTGCAATAAACATAGGGGTACAAGTATTCTGTTGAATGAATGTTTTTGTGTCCTTTGGGTAGATCCCTAGGAATAGAATTGCTGGGTCATATGGTAGCTCCATTTTCAGTAGATTGAGGAACCTCCATACAGCTTTCCATAGACTAGCAACAACAAATACTGGTGATGATATGGTGAAAAGCAGCTCTTCTACATTGCAGTAGGAGTGCAAACTGTTTTCACTTTTCTTACTTCATCCAGGAAATGCTCAGTTTCTACTCTTTGATGTATTATTGTCACCCTTCTACTGTTACCTTGCTTTTATCTTTCTAAAGAATCTTCACAGATGAAGATGCAGAGGTATTAAACTTCATGAGCACTAGCACATCAAAAATTATTTTCTTGGTTCATATGTATGAAATTTGGGGATAGAGGCAGTTCTGTGTCCAAAATTATTTCCTCTAGGAAAACTGAGAAAATTCTATCATCTCTTATCTCTGAAATGTAGCTAATACTGCTGAAGAAGTACCTGTCTCTCATCCCTTTGGCAGTCAGCCAGTTAGTTTTTTCTATGAAAGTTTCAAGAACATCTTCATTATTTCTGGTATATGAAAATGCCAAAAATAAAAATGTTACAAGAACATGTGATTTTGAATATTTGAGGGAAATCTTCCTCAAGAAACAGCTACATTTCACCTTCAATTTCTTGGTATTTTGTGGAACTCTTCTAACTGAAGATTTATGTCTTTCTTCATCTCGTGATAAATTAGTGCTTGTCCATCAAATCCTCACACCTACTATCTCAGTATTCTGCTTCTGAATTGTCTAATAAACAGAAGTTTAGCTTGTGTTTTTCTTCAATTTATCATATTTCAATCTCCTTTTGTCTTTTTTATGTTCACTTAATAATTATGTTTCAGGTTTATTTGCTTTTCTGCTTTGGTACATTCTAAATAGAAGGGAAATATTTATGTATGATATCTCTTTCATATGAAGCTAGAAGTCTCTGTTTTAAAATAGTTTTCATGTGAAACATTTATATAAAATGTTGAACATTAAATTATACATGCATACATTTCAAATACATAAGTTGTACATTTTCTATTTTTTTTTTTTTTTGTGGGACCCTCGCCTGCGGCCGGGGAATGAACCGGTGCTGCAGAGGCTGCAGGCAGCCTCGCAGCCCAGTGCTCAACCGCTGCGCCGCCAGGGGAATCCCCATTTTCTAATATTTTTATTTGAAGTAAAAGTTATTATAGAAATTTGAGAGATGATTTCCATTTTGATCTGAAGACAACAATTTGGGTTTTTCACTATTAGATACAATTCATCATTAGATACAATGTTATAATCAGTTTGAAGGGTTTTCTCATTTGCAGAAAAAATTAAAAAAACAAAGTATTCTGTGTGACAAAAGTAGTTTGCTTCTTAAGTAAGGAAAGCCACACAAAATAATTTTAATTGCAAGTGTTTCATGTCAAAATATAAAATGTTTACAAAGGATTTACCAGATTCAGTGAGACAAAATTAAAAGAGAAAAATGCAAATTAGTACCTCTTTGCAAATTAGGTAAGAAGCAAATTAAGAAATGGGTAGAGCATCTCATTTTCCTCAAATGCAGATCTCTACTGTTTGTTTTTAACTACTGTTTACTAAGTACCATGCATTCCATTATGATAGAAAAATTATGAATCCATGCTAAATATTCTGAAACACACTTCATATTATTAATAAATTATTTATGACATAATTCACAGGAGATACTATAGCCTGACTCACTTGAAAACAATACAATTCTACAATTCCTCAAGATGAAGGAATTATCAATTAAACAACACATTTATTTAACAATTAGTGAGAATTCATTGCTATATTAATTTGACTAACACTGTATTTTCACCTTATTTAAATTAGTTCATCCAAGTCTTGTATCAGTTACTTCACCATGGAAAATATTATGAATCAATAAAGCCCTGTGCACCTAGGAAATTTTCTTTCAGCCAACAATGCTACTTCTCTGGTACATTGGCAGCATTTTAAAATCTAATTGATGATACAGTTTTAGTAATTTGTTATTAATAATACCTTATAATGATGGTCCAAATTCTTCAAAAATTAATTTTAACAATACAACTTGTACACACAAGGTTATATTGTGACATCATTGAGTTTAGTCTTTTAATTACAAATTTTACTGTGATCTTACAATCAAACTTAATTTGAATGAAATGGTCAAGTATTCATTCTTAAATTTCATCTGCTTATTTATTTAAATTCATTCACCATTAGTTAATTATAAAAATAGAAATACAGCTAGAAAAATTCATATCAACACAGTTTAAAATACAAATTAACAGAGATTTAAAAAGTTATTTGTGAGTCTTAGGTTCAAGATGGTTTCAAATTGAAAAAGGAAAAAAAAATTACTTCTGAGTAAACTGAGTGGAACCAAGAATTAAAACTTCTACTTTATACACAATTGATTTCAGTTTTCCTATATGTCATAAGAATGAATGTTCTGTGACCCAAGAGAATCACATCCCATGTATTACTCTCTGAGAGAGCAATGCTGGACTCCTGCTTAAAATTTAAAGTATGAAAAGTGTCTCCTTGGTGGCCCGGGTGTTAAGTCTCAGTGCACTATGACTGTTGTGGCCTGATTTTGATCCCTGACCAGAGAGTTAACCCATATTGCACAATAGCTCTCTCCTGTCTCCCTGCTTCTCCCTTTAGCAGTGTATTTTAGTAGATCAACCTGTTCTGCTCCTCACTCTGTCTCTGGTAAATCCTCTAGTCCCCACATCTCTGGCCTACACCCCATTTCTTCTACACAAAAATAAACAAACATTGAAAAACACATATGAAAAGTATCATACTAATCAAAGATGTTACAGCCGCAGGCCACCAGGTACCTCCCCCTGATCAACTATGATGTTTGTTATGCAGTCACCTGCAAGATTCCTATTACAAATAGTCTGAGAGAGGAGTCTTCTTACCATATCTGACAACTTAGTATTTCTTTCTGTTGTTGACAGGAAAGCAGCATATTGGTTAGTCAAGTTAGGTAGTTCATCAGAAATTCTGCTGACCTGTGAATTACAAAAAGTATGTTGAAAGAAGGGGTAAAAGGAATATGTTTTTACTTATCAATAAATGGCATTGTATATAATAAGTTTGTGATGAAGCTCATCAATATTGTTCTGTCATTAAATAGAGATAGACATGTTCATAAAAAAGTTTTAAATGGGAAACAGAAATAAAATTCTTATCCATTAAGATTTTAAAATGGCCACTTAATATAACATTATTTGTTAATAATTATTAATTAACAAAATTATATTAACAATAACTATTTAACTTGACTATGTGTATTAATGCATTTTCTTAGCAAAATGATTCATACTATCTTAATTACCATACACCTTATATCTATCAAAGATGTAAATTAGTAATCTAAAATTTTAATTTGCGGTAGATTGCATTCAGCCAAGTAATGGCTAATGAATCTTTATTTCTCACACAATTGCTCTCTCTCTCTCTCTCTCTTCCCCCCCCCACATCTTCCCCCTTTTATCACTCCCCTTCTCCCCTTGTAAATAAACTTTTTTTTTATTATTTCTCTGTACACTTCTGCTTTGGGTCTTATCCTGTGTTCTTAAGAATGCAGGTGTGGATTCTATCTAGGTCACTCACATTTCCCTCAGAATTGCCCTATAACAGCTTGGCACTTAACATGGGGCCATAACACCCATGGTTGACCAGTCCAAAGGCAGCTTCCTCACATTGATCACCAGAGGTGTGTTACAACTTAGGGACATATATGAATGGATTTTTGTTTTACAGTGTCTAATTAGAGGAGCTCACTTTCAATTCAGTAAAGTTCCCACTGTGTCTGTTTAATATATACATGGTTCAAACTTTAAGTTCTCCTTATTCATATTTTTCTTTAAGCTTCTTTGCTCTGGGCAATCTCCTAAGTCAGATGTATGGAAGTTTATTTTAGTCTCATGGCAGGTATAGTGGGCATTTGTATAGGACTTGGTTTCAACCACCAACTTAGGAATTTTTCTTTGTTTTTAGATCAAGAGGAGGGGAGCTTTCTACATCAACAAGAGAATACTTGGACAAATTGTGGTTGTCCTTCATAAACTAGATTTAGAAAACAGAAAGTCATTTGATCCTACAAAAAAAAGAACAAAGCAGCCTTACCCTTACCTTGATAGTAGAAAAAGTAATGAGGAGGAGGACAACCAACCTTTATTGGAGATTTTGAACTCCAAAATGAGAATCCCTTTCAAAGGGTCAGTGCCTCTCTTGAGGAGGCTGCAATGGCTCTGCAGGCCTCCCACCACCACCACCTGCAGAATCAGACTAGACTAGTATAAGACTAGTTTCCACTTTTCCTAGACCAAAACCAATTTCAACAAAGAAGCTACCCTCTTCACAAATTTCCAGCGAATGAATTTAATAAACAGGGGAAATCTGCCAGACTTTATTGGTCATATATTCCTTTTTCTACTGGGAACCTCCTGAATTGGAAATGCAATCCCTCATTAGTGGCAGAACCCTAAATGATGACTAATTTGTGAACATCATCTTTGCTTTCCATTGGCCCACCTGGATAGACATACAATATATATTACAAATGTTATTAATGTCAAATGAGTGAAGAATAGTTTTATGAAAGGTTAGTGAAGAGGGCCTCCCCTGGAGGCACAGTGGTTCAGCGCTGTGCTGCGAAGCTGCCCACAGCCTCTGCAGTGCCGGTTCGATCCCCGTCTGCCGCAGAGGGTCTCGCATGGCGCAACAGACCTATGCTGCCGCACCTGCTGCTCCCCTCAGCAGTGTATTTCGTCAGTCTGCCTGTTCTGTTCCCTGCTCTGGCTCTGGTGAATTCTTTCTCCCTCCCGCGCTTCTGACTGTACCCAGTGCTTGTATAAATAAATCTTTGGAAAAAAAAAAAAGGGTCTCATCATCTCCACTAAGATGATGAGAAACCTTAGAAATGGAAGACATCATTCCAATTGTAGCTCTAACTATAAATTGGGGAATGGAAAGACCAGAACACAATCAGAGGTTCTTAGTAGAGTGAGGAAGATAATGCCTAAGTAAAAGAGATTTGGTAAGACACTAAAGCTTCAGTGAAAATCCCATGAGGTCTGAATTTTTTCAAAGAATAATACAAACTTCTAACAGTTACACAAAGATGAATCCGTATGTTCAAAAAAATTCACAGAAGATGAACATAACAATTTGCCGTGGGGACTCCCTGTTGGCGCAAGGAGTTGAGCGCAGCACTGTGAAGCCGTCTGCAGCCTCTGCAGCATGAGTTTGATCCCCAGGACAGCCCGGGAGCTATCCACATGGCACAGCAGACCTCTCCTGACTTGCCCGCTGCTCTCGTCAGCAGTGTACTTCAGTCAATCTGCTTGTTCTGTTTCCCACACTGTCTCTGGTGAATCATCTCACCTCCCACACCTCTGGCTTGTACCCCAGTTCTTGTATACATAAATAAATAAATCTTTAAAAAAAAAAACAATTTGTCATAATACTCTGGATATAAGGAGGAAATTAACCACAGTAGAAAATGCAATACAGCTGAGTCCTTGCCAATTGGTGTATATAGAATTTAGAAGAAAGGAGGGCTAAGTCTGTAGCTGTATTCTGTCACCTCATGGGATAGCTGCATTGGGAGCAGCATGGGATGGAGGAAATATAACTCAAAATCCAAGTGGTGAGAGAGAGACCTACAGGGGCTCACATCTCTGGAGATGTAGCACCTTCCCCATGGCAAGTCTCACATTTATTTGGTATCAGATTTAGGGAAGATGGGCAAGTAGGTGGGGGAATGTTTGGAGGAATGTGCATGGTGGGGATGTGCACTGAGGATAAATAATAGTCTGGCACAAGCTAGGGGACAGTGGATAGGGACTGTTCCCTGGGGGCCTCCATTGTTGCTGCTGATCAAAACATCTTATCCTGTTGACACTTGACTTCTTGTCAAGGTGGTCTAGTTGATTATGCTAATCTGGCCATATATCTTCCTGTTGTTTTCAGCAGATATCCTTATACCAAGACTTGTCCAGGTGAGAGGCCCCCTGCCTCATTATACATTTTAGCTTTACTAGCAGCAACTTTGAGCACCAAGAAAAATCCTGAGAACAAAGGAGGTGGGGCTAGGGATTTCACAGTATTCCTAGAGAGAGAAAGGAGGACAGGGTTTGAGAGGAAGAGATAAGGTAAGTGGAGAGGAAGTAGAAGTATACATTTATGAAAAAATCAGTGTGTTTACTGTAGCAAGAGATATACTGGAAAGTATCCCAAATTGGAAGCAAGACAATATCACAAGGAGTCAGAGGATGCAGCCAAGTGTCAGGGGAGAGGGGAGGGACTTACTGCCAGATTTGGATAAATGAAGAAGCAAGGAGGGACTATAGGAGATAAATGGGAGTCTAGAGTAGGTATTCATATGAAGAGTTAGAGAGTCAGGGTCTCAATCAATCTGAAATTAAAATTAGTACACATGGCCAAAAATTTTGATGAAAATTAAGAGATAGCTCTGTTTTTATCTTTGTGTCTCTTGCCTGTGCATGACAATGTTAGCATTAATTCATATATAATTGGCTTGTAAATAGCACCTATATAAATTCTAATATAATGAAAAATAACAAAATATTTTAAGAGTTTTTTTATTTTAATTTTTGGTTAATAAAAACTATTTGAAAATCTAATGGTTTAATTTAAAGCACATTGTCTTGAGAATCATTCTATTGGGCATTAATATTTTATTCAGTTTTTTGTCATTCAAATTTATTTTATTTTATTTTAACATTTATCATTTTTTACATTTTTTAGACAATATTTGCTTCCCCCCACCCCTCAGATTGAGTCCCCATAGAATTTCCTTCCCCAAGGCACCCGTGCACCATCACCACAGTCCCCTGTGCTCCTCCCTCCCTCCCCCTCTCCTTCCTCCCTCCTCTTCCCCTGAAGTATGTCTCTGGTTGAGAATTGTCTGTTTTTGCTTTGCTGTGTTTTGTACTGTTATTATTTTTTTTTTACACTGATGTCTTATTTGGTTCCACTATATTCCTTTTATAAGTGAAACCATCCAATATTTTCCTTTTTCCTCCTGGATTATTTCACTGAGCATAATTCCTTCTAGTTCCATCTACATCGCTGCAAATGGCATGAGTTTTTCTTTTTTGATTGCTGAATAATATTCCATGTGTATATATACCACATCTTCTGGATCCAGTCATCTATTTTTGGGCATTTGGGTTGTTTCCAAGTTTTACCTATTGTAAATAGTGCCACAATAAACATAGGTGTACAGGTGTTCTTTTGAATCACCGTTTTTGTGTCCTTTGGGTAGATCCCTAGGAATGGAGTTGCCGGGTCCATATGGTAGCTCAATTTTTAGTAGACTGAGGAACCTCCAGACAGCTTTCCACAGTGGTTGGACCAGTTTTCAGTCCCACCAGCAACGTGGGGGAGTTCCTTTTTCATCGTATCCTCCCCAAGATTTGTTGTTTTTTGATATGCACCACTCTAACTGGTGTAAGGTGGTATCTCAATGTGGTTTTGATTTACATTTCCCTGATGATAAGGGATGTTGAACATTTTTGCTTATGCCTATTGCCCATTTACATTTCCTCTTTGGAGAAATGTCTTTTGAGTTCTTCTGCCCATTTCTTGACTGGATTGTTTATTTTGTTTTTTGTTGAGCCCTGTGAATTCTTTGTATATCTTTGTGATCAGTCCCTTATCAGTTGAATGGAGTGCAAAGATTTTTTTCCCAATCAGTTGGGTGTCTCTCTGTTTTGGTTAATGTCTCTTTGGCTGTACAGAAGCTTTTCAGTTTGATGCAATCCCAGGTGTTTATCTTTGCCTTCACTATCACTGCTTTGGATGATGAGTCTTTAAAGATGTTTCTGAGATGTATGTCTTCTAGTGTTTTACCTATATTTTCTTTTATATATTTTATGGTTTCAGGTCTTATGTCCAGTTATTTTATCCATTTTGAGTTGATTTTTGTGCATTGTGAGAGGTAGTGGTCTAGTTTCATTTTTTTGTATGTGGAGGTCCA